ATGTACAAATAAATAAATCTTTAAAAAAAAAAAAACATGCCTACACATCAAAGTTAAGGCTCTCTTGGCTAACGGAGCCCCTTTATCTGCCTGAGCACAGCTCCGTCTCAGGCAGACTCGCGCCATCATGAGCGCCGTCTCTCCTCCCACCCTTTTCTGAAATGTTGGTCGTTGATGTTCCAGGTGCCAGTGCTGGAGGCTGCAGCCTGATCTTGCATGTCAACAGATGATTAAAGCAGCCACTTTTATGGCCTGCTCCAGACACGCACATATTATCAGAACTAATTAGAACCATTGATAGCAGTTTGAAAAAACTGAACAAATTCTCAGAGTCCTAAGCCACACTAACAACCCTAAACCTGCCAGACAAGTCACGCACCTGCCTACTTCAAACACCCTCTTTAGTTGCAAAGTCACGCAAGGTACAGCTTTCCCTCGAGTCTGTGCATTTTTTCACTTATTTTCTTTTTGGTGAACTTGAAACAGGGCAGGACAGTGAGTCTTGGGCCTGCCACCCTACAAAGCACGCTTGCTTTTCCAGTCTCGTCTTGTGGTGCTTACAGATAGCCCCCCCCCCCCCATTGTGAGAGCTCTCTAGTATGTGAGAGCCATCTTTCCCTCACAGTCCTTAAGGGTACAAAGAGAGCAGAACTTACCCTACACTGGCAGGCTAGATGCTGCAGTTGGAGACTGTCTATCTGTTACCATCTCCCCAGTAATCTGTACCGGAGTGAGGGTGGGGCAATACTGATAAACTGACATAGTTTGTAGTCTAGGCAAAGACATGGCCAAGAATCCATTCTGCAGTCTGCCAAGTGCAGCATTATGACTCCACTATACTCTGATCGTTTTTCTGAAAGGAATGTGAGTTCCACAAAATGTTCCTTTTCAACATTTACACGAAGTCCGACCAGTCAGACTGGCTTATCAGAAACAGGCAGAGGGAATAAAATAAACTCCAAAGGAAGGGAACTAAGAACATAGCGTGTAAATTGCAAACAATAACATTGTCAAAGTCTGAACAGGGGCCAAACCTAATTATGTTTGGGTTGGAAGATGGATCTTTATTGTTTGGGTAGCAAGGCAGTAAAGTCAGTCAGTAGGACTTCTTTTAATATTAGTATGTATTTTACAGCTGTCGGTGAAACAAGAAAGGGAGATATAATTATAGCCAGTTCGTGACAAGCAGAGCACTTCTTAGGATCTGATTAACCCTGGGGTATTAAGGAGAACGACTTAAGTACACTCAGTACAGGCCAGGAGAGAGGACTCCTCCCTGTACAGCTCATTGCACAGCAAGAGGCTGGGGTCAAGGGAGGCGCCGTGGCTGACCTTCCTCATGTCCAGGTCACTTGTGCACTGCCTGTTCTATGCATATGGTTCGGGCAGCTCCCTACCTTAAGTACACACACGTACTCTCACATCTCCATCACCCTACCTGCCTCCAGGTGTCCTCTGACACCTTGTGTTTGATACCAAGCCTTCTCCGGCAGCTTCTGCATGCACGCTCCTCCCTGTCCTTCACACCCCCAGTTTGTGTGTAACAAGTGTCACTTCCGTTTGACACTCAGTCCTCACACTGATAAGGCCCTTTAGGTGGAAAGGTTGGTTGTGTGTGTTCCATGTCTTTGAGGCACACAGCTCTTTAACGGGCGTGGGGATTTCTCCAGGACTAGGAATTCTGATTTTAGTCTGGAAATCACACCATTGGGTGGCGGTATCACACTAGTTCTTTCTTGGGATTATAAAACCACTCTCAGTTCTTATCCTCAGACACATAATGTACAGACAACTCTTGCAGGGCTAAACAAGTACTATGCCATATGGATAGTTACTAGATGCTGAAACACTCCCATCCTGGCCTTGGGGATCACATCCCCTCACATGCTCTCCCTGTCCTGGTGCTCTGCTTTTCTAAGGCTACCTGCAGTACGTGGCTGGTTTCACAGGCCTCTGGGCTCAGGTCTTACTAGTGCAGCTTGTAAATAACAGCCTTTCTCCACCACTAGACCATCAATTCCAGGGGCAGTCCTGTGTTGTCCTGTTCACCAGGCCTTCAGTGCCAACAGCACCTGGTAGAGGGGACTGTGCTGACGTGATTTACAAATGGGAAGACCCCCGCCCAACAGCCTCGGGCACACCATTCTGCTGCTGGGTAATGTCCAGCCACCAGCAAAGGCAAGTATGGGTAAGACTTCCCTGACTCTCCCGCCTCTTCCTTCCCACATTTACAACACACTGCACTTTATTCTGTTAAAGTTAAAGCCCCACTGGGACAAAGGACTCAAGAGGTAAAGGACTTCCAGAGAAAATTACCTATTCATTACAAATATTTTTACAAGGAAGAGATATGGTAGACAACATCTTATCAAGTTACCAAGCTTCACAGGTGCTGTACTGGGACAAACTGATATCATACTCTCTATTATGAGACACTCTGAGAAACTGTATATTTCTTTACAAAAAAAAAAAGATATATTTATGCACACAAGAACTGGGGTAAAGGCCGGGGTACAAGGGGTGAGAGGATTCACTGAGACAGAGTGGGGAGCAGAACAGGTAGAATGACCAAAATACACTGCTGAGGGGAGCAGTGGGCAAGACAGGAGAGGTCTGTCTGCGCCATGTGGGTCAGCCTCCTGGTTGGGGATCAAACTTGTGCTGCAGTGGCAGCAGACAGCTTCACAATGCTGTGCTTTAACCCACTGCGCCACCAGGGAGGGCCCAGAAATTTTAAATTTCTTTCTTTCTTTCTTTCTTTTTTAAGATTTATTTATTTATTCATACAGAACTGGGGTACAAGTCAGAGATGCGGAGGGTGAGAGGATTCACTAGAGACAGAGCGGGGAGCAGAACAGGCAGATGGCCAAAGTACACTGCTGAGGGGAGCAGGAAGCAGGTCAGGAGAGGTCTGCCACGCCATGTGGTCACCTCCGGAGCAGGCAGGGATCGAACACTCATATAGAAGTGGCTTTAGCTTCTCAGTGTTGTGCTTTAACCCGCTGCAACACCAGGGAGGGCCAGA